CGCGAAGATGAGGTAGGGCGGCGGCTGGTCGACGTTGAGCTGGAAAGCGAGGTACAACCGCGACGACTGCAGCGCCACGACCGGCGTCCCTTGCAGCAACAGGTCGCCCTGGTCCGGCGGGCACCCGCTGGACTTCTTCCCGCCGAGACTATACTGCTTGGCGATCCCGGCGCCGGAGCCAGTAATCCACCCGGCGATCGCGCTGCTCCCGACCATCCTGCCGTCGCCGGAGAAGCCGACCGCGACGTATGACTTGGGGTCGGCGGCCGACAGGACGAAGCTCCAGATGCCCGGACCAGCCTTGGCATACTGTAGGAGTCAGAACAAGAGAAGGTTAGCGTTGCTTCGACAAAGCACGTAAGGGATGGGGATACGTACTCTCAAGACAAAGTTGGCTGATCTCAGCGGAGTGAGGCAGCTAAGGAAGGTGGTGTTAATGACAGGGATGAGACGGGCGACGGTGAGCTTTGAAGCGCAGGAGTCAGATGACTGAGACTCGACAAAGAAGAGACAGAAGAAGGAGAAGGAGATAAGGAGGACATGAACGAGAGAGGTCTTCATCTTCTATCTCTGCTGATGCAGTGGAAGGAAGGTTTACATGACACAGCTCAAGTGTCACATACTATGGTGCAACTCCATTTATACATCATCTCTCCCGAGTCATGAACAGCTCAATGAGCATGGGATGTGCGGACTCCATTAACACTTGATCTAAATGTATAATCGATGACAAGCGTGGCGGCCACGCGCTCCCTGTCACGGCCATGTGGATTGACTGCTGGATTGGCATCTTCTTCTTCTTCTCTATATGGTTCTGCCATTAAACCTTTACTGATGACAAGCTTTATTTGTTATGAGAGAGAGAGAGAGAGAGTACTTTGAGTTTGGGGAACATGGCTTACTAGTGCACAGCATGTGACCATTGCCTCGGAGTTGTAATTACTTTTGTCTGTGGCAGAAACGACTAGTGAATATGATAAGACGAGTGTTGTTTAAGATCTGAGCTTGAGATGCTCGACTTAGGTGACCTCTGCAATATTTATGTGTTTGGAATCTAGCATTTATAAATGATGTGCGAATATCAATTTAATTTAATTTAAGTTATTCGATTCTTTCAATATTTATTAATATTTTTTTTATTTTCTTCTCATATATAAAATTTTTTTAACACTATTATCAAACTTGAAAGAAGCTTTTCTTCGCTTTACTTTCTCGTTAAATCGATCCATTTTATACATGTGCTCCACAAATTATCTTTTCTTTCTCTTTCGTCTCTTCCTTTATTATATTCGTCTTCTCAAGTCATCACCCTTCTCTTCCTCACCTTCGATCTATTCCTCGGTCTTTTACTTTTTCAAGAATTTTATAATTATAAAATTAATATTTATGAAAAAAAAAGGAACAACTTAGATAAAAATGACTATGAATGACACCATATAATAAAAAATAATTATGAAAAAATTTATATGATAAATTATCCTTTATTTTTTCTTTGGACACACACTCTCTCTCTCCTCATCTTTTAGATATCTAAATAATGTGTGTATTTCAACAACTCTCCTTGTTTAATGGACAAAGTGATTGAGGTGAGTACAAAGTCTTGTCTTTCAAGCAACAGTTTTCAATCTCAAGTGGCCATGTTTTCTCCCACAAGAGATCACCATCAACCAAGAAAGGTTGCAGCAATGGGGGTGGGTGAGAGATCTCTCGTGTTCCTGCCTACTTATTTTTCCTGTGGGCTGAGTGGTTTTGGGCGATCTCTTCCTCTTCCTCTTCCTCTTCCTCTTACATAGACATATATATATAAGTATTCCAAGTTGCAATAGAATCCATCTTAGCTTTCAAAAGAGGTTCACCTAAGAAAATTACTAGAGTTTTGAGCTATTGTTTTTTTTTCTGGATGATATTTTTTTTTAGAATTTTCAAACAATGATCTTTTATTTCTAATATCTCAAAAATAACTTTGGCTTCATTCGATTGGTCACATTCCTTTATTTCAAGATTTATTGGAATGCATGATCAGAACAGAGAGAGAAAGAAGCACAGGTCACTCAAAGACATTAGATATGAGAAAACATAGCAGCCATTAATCCAAAGCTCTTAAATGGCCTCTGAAGAAGAAGCAGCAGCAGCAGCTGCTTCGTGAATGAATGCTTCAGTTTCTCTTCAGGAGCTCCACTGCTGCAGGCTCACTCGGCAAAGCAGGAATTGCCCCTTTCTCGGTGGTGGTGATGGCTCCGCAGGCGTTGGAAAACTTGAGCACCTCCCTCAGCTTCCCCTCATCCTGCATCCATTCCACCCACAGATCAGTCGGCATGAAGAACTACACATCGAGAGGGAGCCTCTCCTCATCTTTCACTCACTCACTTGCAACACAGACTGGTCGTCGACGATCTTCCTCAGCATGGCGCCCACGAATGCATCTCCTGCTCCGGTCGTGTCCACTGTGTCGACAGCATACCCGTCCAAGCTGCCCCGGAAATCCTACAGCGAATCGTGCCATGAGCTCAGAATCAGTAGTGCTGCAATCATCTTCGGTCATACAAGTGATCGAATACCTTGGTGTAGTACTTGCATCCCTTCTCCCCGAGCGTCACCACCAGCAGCTTGAACGCCGGCCTCCACAGGGTCAGCACCACGTCGTCTTCCACCGACTCTTGCCCCGTCAGGAACTCCAGCTCGACGTCGCTGACCTTGATGATGTCAGCCTCGTCCCAGATGCTCAGGATCTGCTCTCGCGCCTCCTCTGCCGACGGCCACAGCGGCAGCCGGAGGTTCGGGTCGTAGGAGAGCAACGCCCCTGCTTGTCTCGCCACCTCCATGGCCTTCAGATGAGCCGATCGGCACGGCTCGGTTATTAAGCTTATGGATCCGTAGTGGAACACCGCAGCCTGTGGAGACGAAGCAAGCGTCATCAGAGCTCTACGGATCGAGAGAGAGAGAGAGAGAGAGCGAGAGAGAGAGAGATCCGATCGGGGTTACGCTTTTGATGACGTCGAGGTTGAGCTCGCCCTCGGTGAGGAGCATGTCGGCGCTGGGGTTGCGGTAGAACATGAACTCGCGCTCGCCGTCGGCCCTGAGGGTGACGAAGGCGAGCGCGGTGCGCGCGCCGGTGTCGAACGAGACCCCGCCGTCGTCGACGCCGTTGTCCCTCAGGATGCCCGCCAGCATCCGCCCGAACTCGTCGTCGCCGAGCTTGCCGACGAAGGCGGCTCGCCCGCCGAGCCTGGCCACGGCGATGGCCACGTTGGCCGGGGCGCCGCCGGGCGCCTTGATGAACCCCGGGGCCTCCGCCAGCGACACCCCGGAGACCGTCGGCACGAAGTCGATCAGCATCTCACCGAAGCACACGATCAGGTCCTTCGCCATTGCTTTGCGTTGAAGAGAAGCGAGCAGAGACAAGACCGAGACCCACAGTGGACGCAACACAAGGAAACAGCCTTCTTGTGATCGTAATATAATAGAAAGAGAGAGAAACGGGGAAGAAGGAAAAGCTGATTGGTTTTATGCATACATATCACCCTTTGACTTGCGATCGATCTCATAAATCCTTATTATGATTAACATGACAACAACTTAAATTGATAGATTTATTGGCATGTAAGTAATATATCAATTGGAGCCCCAAAGAGTCTTCTTCCCCCACAACACTTGAAACGGCTCTCTCCATCGTTGAGGGTGGGAAGAGGATAATGATTACATAGGGGACAAACACAGTGCTGCTCACATATGGCTGTAAGAGTCTCAAACTGTGGCCTTCAGAAATTTGCAGGCCATATGGATACATTACATGGATAAAATAAACTGCAACAATATATAAAAATTAATGCTTGACCCTGTAGGGCATTGAAAGTGACATGGGCGATTCAAATCTCTTCTTTTTAGGCAATATTTTTTATGCATGATGCGGCATAAGATGGATGGTCTTCCTATTTTGGATGGTATCTGAATTTTCCATAGAGTTAAAGAAAAATCTTTTAGTGACATATTGAGATTTAAATTTTATTATTTACTCAAATGTGGTTACTAATATATAATGGGATCATGACCATGTATGCCAAACATACACATCAATCAACCTTTCTCAAAAGAGGATGTAATAATGCTAACTTAATGCACACTGCTGAGAGACAGTTGTCATGTCAGAAAATGTCTGGATGGATCGGTAGATCTACAGCGGCGTTTGCACCGCTGTCAGGGGGAAGAAGTTGTAAGCACAGCAACGTTACTTAGAAGAAAGTGCTCAAAAATTGGATGGGCACAACTTGCGGTTCTTGAAAAGAAGATTGATAGAAATGTCTCTAAAATTGTAATTTATATGTCGAAATTATTCAGTGGATGTAAGGTTAAAGAACAGGGGATAAGGAAAATGAATTGTTGTAAAGGAGAAAAGAAACCCATCACCCACGGTAAGAAATTGGTGAAGAACTACTATTTTGATGAGTGATCCAAAGGAATATTGGAAAACATTTGAATTAATTAAAATAAAAATATATTATCTAAAAGCATATATAAGATTAAGTTTTGGAAATATAGTGTGTGTTAACTTAGAGATATGTATTGGCCAACCGATTGGAAGATGTTTCTTGGAAAGAACCTAAAAGTAAACATGACTTGCATTGCTAAGTAAATAGAAGAAATCTTGCAACAAAAAAAAAGATTTGATTTAAAACTAATCCTAAAAATAAAATAAAAACATTCATAAAATATGTAAAAATAAAAATAAAATTTGATGTCTGCAATTATATATATATTTTTAAAATATATTTATAGTTGTGATTAATTTAACAGACAAAAAATTGCCCTCACGCAGGATCGAACTACGGACCTTCAGTTTACAAGACTGACGCTCTACCACTGAGCTATAAGGGCTCCATGTCTGTTCATTGTCACAATACCTGTACATAAAGGAATACTAATGAATTAATTCCAATAAACATTAAACGATGACACACAAAACTAAATTTTTTTAATTTTTTTTCTTAAAAATAATTTACTTGAGGCTTTTAAATTGCACGTCTAAAGGAAGTCACCATCACATTTTGAACAACAACATCAGGGAGACTGAATAAAGTGACAGTGTTAGGCTGACTTTTCTTGGATCCTAAACCTCATTTCTGCCACCTTATCCTCATGTACTTTGTATTTGATGAGGTCTTATGAAACCCCAAACAACCAGATTCTTCTCTAACAGCAGCTATTTGCAGATGGCTGAGACTGATGTTGGCTGTCGGTGGATCATGCACAGGGGCAGAGTCTCTTGGTATGTTGATGTGAGCCATCACATGAAAGCATAGCTTCTGTTTGGGTGTACAAGCAAGCTCCTGGGCTCTGCAAAAGAAGAGAAACATCACACTTACTCGTTATCAGACTCACATTTATCAAAAAATAACCATGAAATCAATAAAGAAGCATAGGAAAGAAAGAATAAATCGATAAGGAAAGAAAATATAAAGCACCGATAGGTTTAGTTGGCCCCACTTGTCATAATCGTTTGTAGAACAGCACATAATAGACCTAAAACATAAGAGTGTGTACCATGTACTTACTCTTAAATCTCTTCGGGTTATTGCAGAATACAGTTGAAAAGGAAGTAGCACATACGAAGCACCAAAAATCGAGTTCATGCTACCTTTGGCAGCCATATTGCATCAAAGACCATACATAATTACCTAAAAGCATCTGCTTGACTTGTTCACTCTGTTGAAAAATGATCGTTAAATAGAAGAAGACTGATATCGAAGGAAGAGAAAGTAGGTGATGTGGGAACGCTAATGAGCCCCTGAACTGCACAGGTAAGACATTGATGCCTGGACCACTACACAATGACGAGTCTTCACATCATCAACGCAGTTGCAACTACCTAACAAATCCTCCTAGGCCTCGATTGACTTGGAGTCCAGTCATCTGCCATGCCTTCTGCAACATCGCAGCAGAATAACAATCTAATTCAGGTGATGATGTGTTACGACCGACCGGTTTTGTGAGGATTTGACACTACAAAATGGGACCTCTACTGCAGGTAAAAGAATTGGGCTTATTTCTCTCACCTACTTAATGGGATTTGTGCTCTTAAATTTCTTTCACATTATTTCATATCACTTTAAAGTGAAATCTAACTTGAGCATTGGGTGACCCCAACTGACACATTCCAATGCCCCCCTCTATTTTGCAAGATTTTCCTTAAAGCAGCGGTCATAAAAACTAAGGAACATCTTGATTTCAGCTCGGAGGATATCTCAACTAGTCCACCTCAGCTCTGTAGGTAACTCAACTCAATTCCACCTTGACACCTTTATGGTCCAAGATATCGTAAACAGGGATCCAATTTGGCTACCTCAGCTAGCCGGTACTTGGTAAGTGAAACAGAGCAGCACTATAGTATGCTATTTCATTGGAACTAACAAATTCTTAAAGAGAACAAGGTCGTATAACATTGTTCCATATGTTGCATGTTTATCTTAAATTCTGAGGATATAGTCTCTCTGTTGATTCCCTAGAATCTTATTTATGAAACATCAACACTTCAAGATGCATGCTGCAACAGTATTAGATACATATGAAAAATGATAATCACAATTACTTTTTGGAAGCAACTGATCTTTTAAATAACTATTAAAAATCAGGTATTGCCAGGATGATCGAGAGATTTTTGTGTTGATATTATATACGTGTAAAAATGATAACTGATCTAACAGCACATTTGTTCTGTGTTGCATATCTTGTAACTGTATCTGTGCTTCACAGAAGCCCATACACAATCGAGATTTAACTCATTATAGCTTCATAGGCGTATTATCCATGAGAATACCAAAAGTATATATTTAAGTTCAAAATATCTGAGCAGATCATGCTAAATTTATATATTCAAATTCAAAAATTTCTAAGTAGACCACTATCAACCACATTTTAGTTAATTAATTTCCAAAAAAGAACTTATGATTTAATAGCAATGAAATAAAAATTGATGGATGTTAATTAAAAGATGAAAAATGAAGGCATACCATGTGCTTGGGAGCAAATTCTTCAACTTCTGCAGGTTGATCTGACCCAAGGCTCGCGAAACATCCACCCTTACAGAGCATATATTTCTGCAATCTGATTTAAAGCACGATGTCATTTGATATGGCAAATACAAAGAGTTTTCCATCATAAAATTCATAAGCAAAAATTAAACTACTATGAATCAGGATTATAAGTGGCTTCATCACATGATAGTTTTTGTAATCGCATCATTTATGAAGTCCTAGAGAACATATACGAAAAACAGGAAACAAGAAACACCACGGTAACTCAATAAGAATATACGAGAATGTTGATCCTTGACTCACAATATATAAAAGATTTCCTGGTAGAGTCATATACAAAAGCAGTTTGTGAGAACTGCGTTTTGTCAGTTTCAACAAATGATCATTGGCAACAAAATCACAAAAAGAAAATTCTGTAATACTTCACATGACAGATAAAATTGTGAAGGTAGAGCCAAGAACCAAGCTGAGGGTCAGGAATGATTCGTGGTACCAACAAACCTAAAAGTGCAAATGAATTGCAGCTCACAGATTAATTTCATAAAATAGCACTGTAAACGAGAGATAAAGAGAGAGAAGAGGCATATAGTTGAATTCTGAAATCGTGTCTTAAGACTTCATCATATTGCAGTCAAACTGACCAAGTTTTACGCCACTTCTTTAACTCCTAAATACCAATCCAAGTACTAGCATGTCTTATGATAAATTGCAGTCAAACCAACTAAGTTTTATGCCATTTCTTTTACTCCTAAATAACCAATCAAGTACAAGCATGGCCTTGGGTCTAAAATTTAACTTATGCCACCAAATACTTCCAAAGAGCATCAAATTCTATTACATATATTCTAGTTTATCACTTTAATTTGCCAAGAACCAAAGCACCAAATTATTAACAGAGCCTGTTCTGTGCAGCAGTATATATAACACTGGGACCAGAATATATAACATCATAGGCAAGAGAATTGCACTTTGACTAGTTGCCTATCGAAAAGCGTTTGTACTTCTTATATAAGGTATTGATTATATTTATGATTAATTGATTATTGACTTTGAAAACTCCTACAATTTTCAACAATTAATTTACTTTCAAGTCGAGTGCAGAATGAAGAATTTTTAAAGGAAAAGCAAAAAAGTTATAATGAATTTTAACAGAACAAAAGACTTACAAGTTGCATCTATTTAGCAGAAAAAGCCTGTTCGGAACACATGATTGTCCCCTCAAGCTGCAAGCTATAGTACAGGATTCCCCCGGCCTATATATCAAATGGTGCCCTAATTAAAGACTTGAAAAAACTATCAACAAGATTACAGTAACAAGCATCACTGTCTTAAAATCACATGATAAGATCACCTTCCAGTGACAATGTTAATGCCAGCTAATCTTGCTTCAAAAGTCACCTCTGTACTCCCTAATTTACATATTGATCATAATCAAGTGAATGAAAGCACCGATATTGACTGAGAAAAATCTTTCTTCGATAAAAGATGAATGTGAGGATATCGAGATACATATGGTAAAACAATGCTAGTACCTGAATAATTTGACTGTAGTGAAAAGCAGTGATGGAAGTCGCTCGCATAGGCATTCTCATGGACCTAAATCAAACAAATCAATTCCACTTTTACACCAAGTCAAGTTTGACTAACTTGTATTAAATTTGTACTTAGCCATGGAATGTCATGTGCAAGATGGTACTATGCTGGAATTTGGTTGCTTCGCAGCTATAACATGCAATGTGCATGCCTGTTTCAGGTCATGCCTATGTCAGCCACATGCCAAATACTTTACACAGGCACCACACTAGCATGAACCCATATCAATTCCTGATATCACACGTGATAAATTACATCCCAACAGGCATGAGGATGCACCGCTAACGTGGAGAGTCATGCTCAAAAAGGGTTCTCGATCAGAAGAAAATGAGTATGCATATATTCAAAACAAACATTTTCACTTCTAAGTTCTAACCTCACATTGCAAAAGTTTGTTTCATCACTCTAAAACTTATCTTAAAAACTATATTTAATAGCTACAACCATTTACCATCAGTAAAAATTACAAATAGTACCATTCAGATTGGTAGAGATGACAAAAGGAAAAGAGACTAATGGGAGAGAACAATACCACACTTGCAGAATTATGTCGACATCTTCCAGCACAGAAATCAAAAGCACTACTGTAAGTGCCTAAAAATAGAAAGAAGATAAATGAACTAGTAAAATGTGTTATCAACAAATGTATGTCTGTATTTTTACCTGCAGTAACTGGTTTCGCAATTTTCACCTTCATAGCAAGATCTTTGTCAGTCTGTGAAAATAATATACATTTGAATCAACTACTTCAATTTAAGTGAGAGCAATGCACATTGGGAAATAAAGAAAATACCCTGGATGGATCTAAGCAGCATGATACACAGTATTCATATGAGTTGCAACACTGTGAAATGAGGTTGCAGCCCCTGGAGCAGGAAAAAATCGATTCAGAAAGTTATTTATTTCAGGGCAGATGATCAAATCAATATCAATCGCAGAGGAAAACTCACTGACAAGAAAATTGGTCCCCTTTTACTGGACAGCATCTGGTCCATGAATCAACTGAAAGGGCAGTGCATACGTAACCTGCAATATTTGTAAGTTACTTCTAAGCGATAGATAAGTCACTGACAATTGAAGCTACTATTTTAGTCATGGAGCAAAAAAGATCACTAAGAGATACTTGTCCACACTACAGTGAAAGGATAAGAGTACGACACTAACACACCACAGAGACCCACCAGAACTTGAAGAAGTCATAATCTTACCATTGTCATCTGATAATAAGTACCGCCCCTGAACAGTATTTCTGCAAACACGATTCTCTGCAAGGCCAATATCCTTCCTAGAACAAGTATCAGATAAAATTGACATCAGGATTTCTTTCTGAAATAAGAAAAACAAAGGAAATTGCCCTATAATCATCATTGTGGGACTTATTCACCATGCCATGTTTTGAGGAATTCTGCATACACAAATGTTTATATCTATACACACATACAATTCTTTGGATTACCCCACTAAAACTTCCACCTACACTCACAACCTTATACCAGATACAGCATAACACCTATATAAAAAGAGGTAATTTTAGGTAGATAATTCAGAAAATGCATGGGAAAAAAAAGAATGATTTATTTTGTGTAGAAAATTGTAGTAAATGAAATAGAATAACTTCCACCATGAAGCTTTTTGGCTGCAAAGAAAACATAGGAACACCCCACAAAGATGTTTGGTTTCTTATTAGAGCATGTATGAGAAGGTTAAAGAACAACTCTGTGCTAGTGTTATTCTAAAAAGGTTTCCATCTAATGCATTCATACAGTCGGCATTTTCTGCAGCTGACAATCACTATCAACTTGTAATTGAGAACACAATTTTCTGGAAGTTCAAGACAAAGGAAAAATGTTGTATATTCATGTGATATGACCTTCATTTGCTCTCTTTCTCAGTGTATCAGTCATTGATATATATTTAAAAAAAAGGTAGCCGCAAATCTTGATCCGAGTTTCATGCATTGTTTCATGCTAACTGAATAGATATATACCACCTTGGAGTTCATGGTCTCACGATTCGCTTGAGGGGTAGTATGATTTATTCACTTCATTGAACCTAAACCACTGGACCAAAATGCTTAAGCTGAACTTAAGAGTAGTATACCTATCAGACACCTCAGACCCTTATAAGAATCTTAGTTTTTGCTCACTTTCAATGTGGGACAAAATCAGAGTGTTACAATCTTCTTCATTTAATGGTTTGATATCCTCATCAAGGCCCAACATAACTTAGAATAGCCCTTTCCTACTCGACCCTCTCATCATACCAAATACTGGTTTGACTCTAATACCAATTGTCATGATCCAACCTGATGGGATAAGTGACCTATTAATTTCATTGGACCTGAATCAATGGTCCAAAATGCTTAAGTTAAAATTAAATAACACACCCATCAAAACCTTATAAGAATCTTAGTTTTTTTCCCACTTTCGATGTGAGACCAAATTGAGGTGCTATACATGGTGTCTCCAATACGCGTCATTTAATTATACTCACCCAAAAGTAGGGTCAGCTTGTCTCGACATGCTCTGCAGCTGACGGGCTACAATTCATCCATGTCCTATAATATGCATGAGATAAGTTGTTTGACTAGTTGACTTGTATTCAGAAAATTTTTTGCTCATAATGAATAAGACCCAAAATAGACATGGAACCTAATATAAAGCAAAATCAAGACTTATTTTCCTCAATTGCCTTCTCAAGCCCAAAAATCTAGAAAAGTCGAGAACATCGTTCCCTTTCTGATGCCTTCACCTTTGTGTTACCTGTAATGCACAATGAACGATCGAACTAGCTTCTCCAGCGACACGTCCCTATCCTATCCTGACACTTCGATATCTCCGCCTATGAGTCTAAACACGCTCATATGCCCTTAATTTTAGATCTCCTAATACTTATGGAAGAAGAAGCAAATATTGCCTAATAATCAACAAAAAACGATCAAAGAAATCTTTCTTTCCCGGATAGCCCAACATTCACTAAAATTTCCGAATTGATGAATCGAAAACCCACAAGAATTGAAACATTTGATCCCAAAACCGCAGAGAAAGCAAGTAAGGGATCAAGAGACGAAGACATCCGAACAATTACCGGATGGCGGAGATCACTGCGGGGAAACCGAAGGCCACAAGGATCCAAAGGGTCGCATGGAGCGCGCTCGGAAGAAGAAGATCACCGCGAAACTTCCCCATCTCGCGAGGGCGAACCGATTTGGAAGGGTTTCCCCGTCTTTTACGATCATTTCGGAGGGCATCTTTATGATCTCTTTGAACGGTGGATGCGAGGGTAGCCGATAGATCCAGCGGCTCTTGTCAACCCTTCGTTTTCAGAACCTTCTTAAAGCGATTTCGTTAACGTGCCCAACATACCCGCCTTGTGATTGGTAATCGCTCTGGGCCCACTTCTGACACATCCTATTTTTAGCCCAAAATGAATGGATATTTTGAAGTATATATTCCTCTAAATGAAGTGATTTTATTATATATATATATATAATAAATATACATATATATATATATAACTCACCATTAATAAAAAAATTAAGTCACGATTTAGAGAACGAGAATCCATCAATGTGTGCCACGCCAGCAGTTATCGCCACATATCAGGCCTATTTGGGAGAGGTGACGTTGCCCCGACAGTTTTCAGGGCTGATCGAGTCGGTGGATGTAGCCGTTACGAAATGGAGAGTGTTTCCTATTTGGGAGAAACACTCTTACTGACACGTGCAATACACGTGCTCCTGCAATAGGTATTTGAATAGGCCGCTCGTCTCTCTTTCGTCTCCACTTTGGTTACCGTTGGGCTGTCGTCTCCGCAGAAAGAGAGAACAAAATTAGGGTTTACCGATCAAAGGCCGGACTTAGGGCGGACTGGTCTCTGGTAATGTCCGAACAATCTTTCCTCTTTCACTTGGGTTCATTCTTCGCCTTCAGTCCGAATTATCTCAGATATCTTCTCGCACGGAAGAATCGTGACATTCTTGGTTCTTTTCCTGAGTCATTTCCCCGCTTTTCCTACTGTGCGTTCTCTTGTTTCCGCTCCAATTTTTGTGTATCAGATATCTTCTCGCGCGGAAGTTTCAAGAATTTCTTGATTCTTATTCCCAACAAAATTTCCCCTTTTCCTTCGGTTCGTTCTCTCGCTGTCAGTTCGATCTCTGTCTCGGATATGTTCTTGCATGGAAGATTCATGAAATTTTCTGTTATTTCCCTAATAAATTTGTCGCCACTTCGATCTTCGTGTCTTAAATATCTTCCCGGACGCAAATTTCATCAAATTTCTTGTTTCTTTGTTCAATCTCCGCCCCCTTTTTTTTATGGTTCGTTCTCTTGCCGTCAGTCTGATCGCTGTGTCTCTGGTATGTTACGGAAGATTCATGGCAAGGAAAATTCTAAATAATTTCTCCACTTTGTTTTCTGTTCGTTCTCTTGCCGCCATTTCGATCTCCGTCTCTTTAACGGAAGTTTCACGAAATTTCTTGTTTCTTTTATAAACAATCTTTCCCCTTTTCCATCGGTTCGTTCTCTTGCCGTCCGTTCGATCACGGTGCCTCGGATATGCTCACTCATATAGTGGTTTTCAGGACCAAAACTTTGGGCCTGATCGTGATCTTGTTGTCCTTCTTGGTTTATTATGTTTAGTTATCTTCTATCTTTCATCTTCATGTGGTTTTGCTTCGAAAAGATGAAATCTTGGTGGAAACGATTGTCTCGCAGGAACTGTTTGAAAGATTGATGTCTGGATACCGTCCTTATTGTTTGCTTTCTCTGCTGCGGCCATTGGTTTTCTCTTCCTATCTCGATGTGTAAATCTGATTAGAATAAAGAAGATGATGTTTTGGTGAAAGTAGCTTCTAGGACTTGCTTAATTATCGTAAAAGCAGGGGTTTGAATTTGCTTTTGTTCTTTCATTTGGATCTTGGGCTTGCAAGTTTTATGGTTGTTGATGTAATGATGTCCCTGTAAGTAAGTAATCTGATGGAGTAGAGTTCTTTCATACGTACCAAATTTCTTATCGCTGGTGCTAACTGTCATCTGACTCGTATGTAACTCGTGTAAATTTCTTATCGTTAGTGCTAACTGTCTTTATATAACTCTTCTATTCACTTTATGGATGCAGAAAAAATTGATTTGGGCTAATGGCTTACCGAACACCTGTTGCCATTCAAAATGAGAATTTTCATATCCATATAGGTATTGACTGTATATCAATGACGTCTTAACAAATAAATTCGATTGGAGAAGGCTATGATGCACTGATTAAAGGTCCAAATTTGCAGGCAAAGATGTCGATAAGGTGAAAGGTGTCCTGCCAAAGCCAGCAAAATCTGGTCGTCCAGATCGAAAGGCCTTGAAGGATCTTTCAAATACTGGCAAACCTCCAGCTTCTCGTCCGGTTAAGGTGTTGGCCCTGAAAGAAAAGTCTGCACCACGTGGTCGGGAGACCATCAAGAATGCCCCAAAGAGCACTTCCCTCACTGATGAGGAAATAAAGAGATGCCATCAGTGGGCAAAGGAGGGAATTGAACAGGCACACTTTACTGGAAACGATATACAAAGGCTGGAGAAGGATATTAATGAAGAACGTAATTTTTTCTGCACATCCTTTGTTCTATTTCTGAATTGCAAATATTGTCCATCCACTAATTTAGGCAAACGACAATGTTTTAGTTGGTTCACATCCTTTTTAATAGGTATAAACAAGAAGGTTCTGAAGGTCGTGTCTGACTTGCATGAATGGTTAAGCACTTCATATGATCTTGGATTGCCAGAGAAGGTATGTGGTTTGGCTATGTTTCGTGTTTTGCATGTTAGATATGTATGGGGCAGTTTGATAGAAATGGAACATTACTGCAAGGTAAACAAACAAGAAAGTCCTGTCATTTGGTTTACTTAGTTGAAACATGCAGAGGTTGTAGTGTCAGACCATTTGGGTTTACCACAGTTTATTGTGGTAAAATTCTACCAATATACGCATCATTTTTTTGTCGATATCAATGTTATATGCACAGTTTGTGTAGATAGCTTCACATTCTCCTCTTTCTTATATATCATAAGAGCTAAATTTATAATTCAATATTTGAAGCTTGTGGTAAAAATTTGTGTTGGTTCTCACAAAATTATTATCAGGACATAGTTTGGATAACTCCTGATCATGTGCTTTTATATGTTGTTTATTTAAATGAAGTATGCTTCGTTTAAATTCTGAGGTGCATGACTAAAAAAAATTGTTAAATACATTTGCTACTAGCTATTTAAAATTTGCAGAACCTTTTAGGTTCTTTCCCATATAGAATGTGTTTCTGGACTTCAAATTATTTGTTTCTTAATTTTAAAATCGTGAGTTGGTGTTACAAAGCAATGGGATGCTCCAAATGTAACTGGAATCTGCTCAAACTGTTTAGATTTGGTAAAATTTATCAACAGTGCATTTTGAAGAGAAAACTGTCTTCAATTTATGTTGGCATGAGCCATTATGCTGCATGTTATGCATAATTTATGATGATTATGTTTTTGTTTAATTATGCGCACTCGAGTTAGTTTAACCCCAAAGATACGAACTGTGTGGCAAGGATCTTATATGCACCCACATGCAAAGGCTTGTTTGGCCACTATAGGAAACTATAGTGGTATCAAATATCATGTTCTTGGCTATCACTTCCATTTGCCTTTTCCTTTAGCCACTTTAGGGAACTGTAGGTAAATTTATAACTATGCAGAAGATGAGAACATATATTTAGCATTATTTAGCATTGGTTTTGAAACTCTTGATTGGTTTGCTTATTAACATTCATGTTTAGCATCACTAGCAGTCTGTACTTGTTCTTTGGACTATGTTCCTTTCCATCTTTGTATGACAAATTTTATTGAGTTAAGAAATGCTACACATATTTGTCAGTGGATTTTTATTGCATTGCTACTGTAGTTGGGATTCTATATATTAGCCAGGGATTGATATAAAAGAGTTCCTTAAATAGTGTGTAAATCGTAAGTGCTGAATCTGATTACCTATTCCAATAAATAAATTATAAAATACTTGCTTGTGCTGGTCAGGAGCTTTCCAAGGACATCACAGATGTAAAGACTATGGAGTTAGAAACCGAGCTGCTTCCTTGCATTACCAAATCTCCATCTCCAGGTCTCTTTCCTTTTCTCCCTTCCTATCCAGTGATGCACATACGTAGGTTACTCCGACTTACTAAATTTCCAGCACGATGTTTCTGATATAGCCATGACTTTATTGAACATTTGGAATTTGGTGTTTACAGGTTATGAAGAAGTTGGCAATCTCCTTGAGTCGGAAGTGGATCATCTCCAGTTTCTAGAACGGCCAATTGAGCTTGAACTGAAAGAGGAGGACTAAAGTTCTGATGAATCATTGACGTCGCTTGTTGTATATACTATCAAAATTAGATGATGCATTGTTTGTGCCCCCATGCATCATCGATTATGAGGGTTATGTTCCACTGAGAGTGCTTGAACTATTTCAGCCTCGTAATTGATCATTTTCTCCGATCTGCGAATTAGTTGTTCTCCTTTGCTCTTCCAATCGAAGGATTGTTTTTCATAAGCTGTCATTTGGAAGTATGTGCAGTTTCCTGCTTTTGGTTTCTTCTCTCTTTTCCTCTCCACGAGCTTTCGGAACGCAGCTTTCTGTGGAAGTATCCTTCTAATTTCTAATTTGGTTTTATTCGAACAGGGGATGTTAGAGTTCAATGGCTTCCTTCATTTTGATTGATCATATTAAATGGTTGGATTCTGATTCGCTGGGAGTATTTTATATGTGAAATTATTTGATATAACATCATTTCTTTATAATAAAATAATAATATAAAAATTGACCACCAATTTCCCGACTTTGTTATTTTCCCAAGTAAGATTCCACCGTTTCGTGCAGACGTTGACCTTTTAAAGCGGTCTCATCGATGGAGAACGCCATGTTCAAAGACCCGTAGGTTGACACGGCATCACGGAAGGCGAGTTGTTGGGTCCGTGCGGGGACCACCGGGGGACCCACCTTCGGTTCGGGGACGAGGGACGAACGGTGAGATGCTGGGTCGACCGCGGGCGTCGGCCCACCAGTGACTGGATCCCGTGCTGGGGTACTCCGTGGCGGTGACCGCATCCCTCGTCGATAAATAGCAGCGATCGGCTGCAATCGAAGGAGGTGAGGGTGAGAGGCGGAGACGATGGGTTCGGAGACGAGCGCGTTGACAGCGTTGAAGGCGGAGATGCCACTTGGGGACTCGGAGAGCCTCGTTCTGGCGTCGGAGGTAGGTCAGGGAAGGGCCGTCGGCCTCGTCCTCGTCGACATCGTCAACGGCTTCTGCACCGTCGGAGCTGGCAATCTCGTACGTCCCCTTTTCCAGTCGATTCCATCTTAGGGTTCCATCGAACTCGGTACCCTCCGCCGACAGGTGCGGCGAGAGTTGTCGGATACGTTGTGATTTACGTTGTGATCTCGCTTTGTGCTCTGGTCCGATCGTTTTTGCGTAGGGGGTCGTAAGATTCTATCTTCTGATTTCGATTTTAGTTATTTTTCATTGAAATTTTGTTACTTTTGAGTGGTTTGGTCTGATTGAAGGTTCATATGAGCGAGATTTTTTGTTGTTATGAAGAGAAGCATATTCTTCTCTGCGATTCATGTATATTGATATATGGAACACATTTTTAATCGTTGAATTTGGAACGTTTTGTGTTTTCCCAATTTTTTCGTTTGTCTGAAGGTCTAGCTTTCTAGTATCAGTAAATTGTTTCCCTTTAGCAGTTTTATCTGTGTCCTTTTAGCGTTAGTTTTCTTTTCTTGATTCGTTATCTCTGCGGCGAGAGTTTAACTTTGGTCTGAACTCAACCGGACTAAGCTCTAACTAAAAGCAAAGGCGTGATCTTTGTAGTGTAATTTGCTTCGCTTCCATTTTATAAAGTCTGATGCTTTTGTGAGTATTCGATACGAGTTCAGCCTAATGGTTAATTGATATCGATTTGAGGTTTTTGATCAGTTCAACGTGCATAGGAAGTATTTGTTTTGATTATTTTGTTGAAGTAGAAAACATTTTGTCGAACAATTTATACCTCTGATCTCATGTGATCTGCTCTCCATATAAGGCTCCAACTGAGCCCAATGATCAGATAGCAACGATGGTGGAGGAGGCTGCAAAGCTGGCCAAGATGTTCTCGGCCAGAAACTGGCCTATCTTTGCTCTCCTCGACACCCATTATCCGGGCAAGCCCGAGCCTCCGTATCCACCTCATTGTGTCATCGGTTCAGGCGAAGAGAGATTAGTCCCTGGTATTATTCCTTGCCTTTTGCATTCGTGAATGTTATTTCTTTTCAAACCTGTGCCTGTCCTCAAGTTTTAAGCTTAAATTGACAGCTTCGAAACAACTGATTTCCTTTTTAAGTATTTCTGCAGCTCTGAAATGGCTGGAGAAGGATCCAAATTTTACTGTGAGAAGGAAAGATTGTATTGATGGCTTCATTGGTTCAATGGAGAAGGATGGCTCTAATGCATTCTCTGATTGGGTGAAAAGAAATGAAATCAGAGTCGTAAGTGATCGATCTTCCTACACACACATTTGTTGAGATATATAATAACTCCTGGTTAATCGCAGATTGATCTTTTTGTTATTCCAGAATGGAGATGTGGATGACAGTCATATTGTTTGTTAATCCCATTGTGCAGGTTTTGGTGGTAGGAGTATGCACAGATATCTGCGTGTTGGACTTTGTATGTTCCACGCTCTCTGCTAGAAATATAGGCCTGGTTCCACCACTGGAAGATGTTGTGGTTTATGCACGAGGTTGTGCAACACATGACCTTCCAATTCATGTTGCAAGAAATATCAAGGGAGCTTTGGCCCATCCTCAGGTTTGAACACCTAAACTTGTAGGGATGGTTTAATGTTACACTCATACGACTGAGACAACACACCTTTACACTCTTAGGAAGATTACTATGACTTCTTCCGTAATCAAAAGAAAAGCTTGTCAGCAAAAGATAATTGCTTAGATGTTGATCTCAGCATAATTAGGCAATTTAGGATGAACAGTTGTTGACAGCAGCTACCAATATAAGAACAAATAGCAATGACCATCTAATAAAATTCTAAATTTGCGGTGAGGATTTTACCAAGTCATTGCAGTCCTTAACGAAAGAGAAATAGCTTGAAAGAATCATGTATTTCCACATCATACATATATGATGATTCATTCACGATGATTTACATTGAACTAAGACCTAAAAAGTCAGATGTAGTGGAAGTGACTGCTCATGTCATGATAGAGACACCCTTCAATCAGATTCTAGCACTTCATTTTTACGTCTACATTGGAGTCGACTTATTGATATCTAAAGGTTGCATGCATATCTTAATAGCATTATTAGCCTCGTGTGGGACCGTAATCGTAATCCTTTCTGTAAGCATTGCTTCTTTACCGACAAAGTTAATGCCATAACCTGCTTTTTTGTCATCTTGCTTTTGATACTATATGGTAGGATCAAAATATTACTTAGAATTGCGTGACAGTTTCGATCTTTAATTCCCGTCTCTACTAATGATGTGTCACGCTGGAGATTTAGTATAGAGCTCTGCTTACTGCTCCTGCAGGATGTGCTTCATTATATAGGACTCTACGTGGCAAAATCAAGAGGAGCAAGGATTGTGCACAAGGTGTCGTTTGATTGATAAGCAGCAGCAGCAACCTGAGGTGCCCGGAACTTACTTTATTCGATGATGCTTGGCTAGTTTATTAAAAGTGGAGTAATATATTTAAAGACCTATTATCAAGGCCAAATAAGGTCAACAGACTCTTATCAAGGATGACCTTTATTATTTGGAATCTCATTCTCGGTGTGATTTCTGTGTTAGTGGTGTCATTTTATAGCACAATGGTGACATTGTTGAATGATGTGTTCATAAGGTCCAAATTAGGAGCAAGTACTTTGCGCAGACCAGAGAAATGTTTCAGACTTGTCTGCTGTAGAAGAACATGTTTCTAGCCAAAAGCCGCACGGTTTTGTTCTTGCTTTATACTAGTGTGCATGCCTGCTTTTCAACTCTCAGTCAACATGGCCTTGCTGTCGACTACGGCAGTGCTTCTACCAGCTCAAAAGGAGTACCTGATTCCTTGTTTTCTTTGATTTTGATATTATATATATATATAGGGTAATTTTTATATAAAAAAAAAATCTCCAGTTTTTATTTTTATTTTTCTATAGAATGTCGCTTTTTTAATTTTATTCTAATATCTGTTATTTTATAAAAATATGAGATTATCCAAAAGATGAAATTACTCTTATACAATCGATTGCTACCACCTCTTCCTGTGAGTAAGATATGATGATCATTTTCATCCTGTGAGATTTTATTATTTCTTTCTCTCATCGTGGTCATCTCCTTCTCTGGCTTTCAAGCCCTACCCTCCTCCTCCCTGCAAGGCCCGGAGAGATCGGCAGAACAGCAATGTCGTCGTGACAGCGATTTATATGTCCGGGTCCTGTACTTGGACATGGCTGTATGTGGCGTTGAGAGAAGACAAAGCCTGAGAGAGAGAGAGAGAGAGAGAGAGCCAGTTAGGTTGGAGGCCAAGAAAGCTGTCACTAAAAAGCCAGCAGCATGTCACAAGCACCACGTTAAAATGCTCTCTTGATAATGGTAAAGGCAAAAGAAAATATATCACAGGCTATACGTGCCACTCAATTAAATTTCCAATCCTTTGCTGCTTTCCACTGTTGTGATATCTTTTTTTAGGGTTATTTGCTTGTGTAGTAACACAATAACAACGATGATAGTAAGCTATAATGTCTCGAGCACTTGATGAAAAGAGAGTCATTAAATGTTTCCTAAAGATATGAAGGATTTTTTTTTTTTTGCATTGTGGTTCTTATTATTCATATTTCACATCTCAATCACGTAGTTCTTGAATCATTAAGCATGCCAATTTTGCTTAATGAAGTTGATCTTGGTTTACTAAGCAGTGATGAAATTAACACTGCCTGTTTACATTTGTTTGTTATTAATACTTCAAGAAAATAAATAATGTTTATCAGCTCCTTTATCTCCGTCTCAAATTTTTCATCAATTGATATTTCTCACTTATTATTCGTTTCATATCTCTTCGCATTGTCCTCAAAGACCTTAAAGTTCTGATTCCGATGATCAAATTTTAAAGATGATAATATAAATATTTTTAAGAATAACATGACAATGAGTATCTATTTTGTATAAATTATTCAACAAAATGAAGAGATCAATGAATATATCATTCATAAACTAAAAAGGTGATGGTTAAAATGACTGGAACATCAAGAGTATCGTCGGATATCTTTAAGATTAAAAAAAATTATAAGATAATTTTTAGATCAATAATACTTAATAGATTTGAGAATATTGAGTTGAATATGTGAAATTACAAAGAAAGATAGGAAAAAAAAAATACTTTTATCTATGGACAACTAAGTATCACTTGATAGAAGATAATACGAGAAAACATCAATTAAAATGTGATAAACA